CAAGTAAAGCGAATACGACATAGGGGGGGGGGGGGGGGGGGTATCCACGGGACACCACTTTGTTGGACGTTGCTCGCGGTGTATCCTTAAAACAATGCTTGAGAACAACGTTTCCAGGTAATTAAAAAAAAAAAAAAAGGTAGCCCCGCGCGTGCACAGCGTTGATCGGTGCTCAAGGTCCGCTAGCGCACGGCTACCTATAGACCTTTTCACCCTCTGCCGCATGGGCGCTGCCATCTTGAAATCACGTGATGCGGCCGCCATTAGGTTGCTTCAGCTCGTCGCTTTGCTCTCCCCTCCGCTCAACTCCGCGTCTTGGCGGATGCGTTGAATTCGTGTTCTACATCGTGTTTCACCGCGTTTCAATTACCTCACTCCGGAAAATGTCGTCAGATATTTATACCTTTACCATGTAATTGCATTAAATCATTATGTTCACAATTTCTGCAGTTACTTTTGTTACACGTTTCGACTATTTTTACCGTCGGTGTGCCGGCTACGTGCGATGAGGCTATACGGGCACATAAATTGCTCACGCACATTGAGCACATATATGACAGCAGGAGGGTTTAAAGGAGAACTTAGGTTTGCTTACTAATTGTGGCGGAAGCTTCACAATAGGAAGCACGATGTAAATATATATCTACGATCGGCGCATTTAGGATCTCAAGGAAGGTGACAAAATACTCCACGTGTGTTTCCTGACAGCATCATGTTTTGTATATATAGGTGAACTCGTGGACAAGATAGGCAACAAACGTTTAATTTGATTTTTTTTTTATCTGATGTCAAAAATAATGGTGCGTCGACATCAGGCAATTTGTTTGTTTACAATATCACACCTACATCTGTTTGACGTTTCTAAGTGTTTTTGCTATATAAACATTCGCTCGATCGGTTTATTTATCAATTCCAAGAAACTGTATGGCGTACTTAATTAGACCCATTTCTACAGTCTTTTAGTTGTTAAATGATTTTCTTACATAACCAGTTCAATTCAGTTAATTCACTTCAGCGCAAAGGTTTTGACTTCCCCCGTAAGAAACTGTCACAGAGAGCTTGAGAGTGCCTGGAGTCCAGAATTTGTGACGCCGAAAAGAATCCGTCTGCAGATAAGTGACGTATGTCACTTATCTCATACCTTAACAACGTCGTAATCATATCTCCATATAACAAATAGTCTATTTCATAAGACCAATACTGTGAAATCTTGTTAATGAGTACTTTAGTTAAATAAATTTGCTACTCGGCCTAGGTTGGTCTATTAAAATATTTCTCGAGAACTTAATTTATTTAAATAAAACAGGCCGAGGAAACAACGCTTTTTCACATTATCTACGTCATTATAGGCGCCTTCTTCAGACTGCGAAGTTCACAAAAAGTTGGCCTATGAAACCCAAACAGTAAACTTGTCGTCACTTCATCTTCCCATGATTTAGCAAATCGATAATCATGTTGTGGACATGCTTCTTCACTAAGCACTCATGCATTATAGTATGTTACAATATAAGATGAGCAGTCGAATCCCTGACTTGAGTCAACCCTTTCATACCACTCGGTGCACGCGCAGCCAAAGCCCGGCGGCAGGCAAAAACCGCGTGCTGGGGGCAGAGCTTCTTTTGATTTTTATTTATTTCTTTTTTTTCTTTCTAGCAACTCTTGTCCGCGGGTACGGCCGTAAGCGATGGTAATCCTCTCTTTGCATTAGAGCAGTCGTTTCACCGCCAAACCTGGGCAAAATTGACGATTGGACGTAATCAGACGCATCTGGTGTTCGTGAAAGTGCTCGCACTTTAGGCTCGAAACCACCTCGTGGTTGTCCAAGTGACTCGATCAGTACCATCATGTCATTCGTTGTGTGCCACAAAAAAGAAATTTGTATCACAAAAAGCGAAAACGCATTGAAACAGCAACGCAATGGCGTGCGCGTTGAAACCGAAACCAACCAAATTGAAGCAACCTCATGGCGGCGAGTGCATCAGCGACCTCTACCCGACGGTCAGCTAACTGCTGAAATAAAAAGGTCTATAGCTTGTCTTCGTTGCCTCAGAGAATTTCAGGAAGATACACGTTAAACGTCCACTCTACGCAATCAGAATCGTTGATCTTTAAAGACGATAAATGAGAGCTAGTTCTCAGCATGCGCTGTGAACAACGTCCAACAATATGGCGTCCCGTGAATTGAGCCCAAACAACACCGGATGCAACCGGAAATACCGGCAGGGGAAAGCCGAGTGAACCACGGAGAAGCACGGGACGCCTTGAAGCTACAGATTGAGAGCGGTCGCAGACCAGAAGAACCGCTTCCCATAACACCAACCGACTGTATCCTAAGCAGTTAAATAAATATATCCTTGCATTATCCCAAATTAACCGGTACATCACAATGGAGACGAGGATGGGATCCACGCAACAAAGACAGATATAAAAAAACTGAGCGACATCAAAACAAGGGAGACAGCTGTAAATTAAGCGACTTCCCATCTTGAACCTAGAGAATACATCGCATCGGGAAAATTGCAGAGTTCGATCAAAAATCGGAATCATAATCTTCGTTCATCCAAATAATCGAAGTGCTCTTCGTTGCTAACGACATTCCGGAGTCAAAGCGAGCAGATATTCTTCTCACTATCATCGGACGGGAAATGGACGGACTAATACGAAACTTGGTGACATCTGCAAAAGCAAGCACCAAGACTTATGAACACACCTTTCAAGCCGATGCCCAGTGAAATGGTTGAATCCTACAACTTCTACACCGGAAGCACATGGAATCCGAAACCATCGCAGACTACGTAGCTGTGCTCAAACAACTTTCCCTGCAGTGCAACTTCGGTGTTTCTCTCAACAACCGGATCCGAGAAAAGCTCTTTGACGTCATCAAGAACGGGAACATCCTCGAAAAGCTGCTGGCTGAACCGACGCTGAAGTTCAAGGCAGCGGTTGCTCTTACCACTTCGATGGAGTTAGCCACGAAGGATGCGAAAGAAAAAAGACGCGAGACCGAGACCCAACAAGATGTCAATCACTTGGCGCATGGGCAGAAATACAAGACGTCAGTTCCGAAAAAGGCAAGCGAGGGAAAAGGAAAATTTCACACAAGCAGGACCCTATGCCACAATTGGGCACGAGCAATCACGACCCTGAAACCTGCTTTGCAAGGAAGAAGACTTGTAAAACCTTCGGAAGAACTGGACACTTCCAAATGATCTGCCGCGACAGGAGACGTGATCACCAAGCTTAAAAAAAGGAAAGATAAACCAAACTTCACCAACCATTTCACCACACAGGACTCGAGAGGCAAACGTTCGCTTTACTTCATCGACTCAAGCCACCCGGAACCCATCACAGTAACCGTAGAGATTTGCAACAAACTTCTTCAGATGGAAATCGACACTGGCTCACCCGTGACTGTGATCAAACTGTAGACGTTTTAGGAAATTTTTTTATATATCAACTTGACACCTTCGGGAATAACGCTGAAGCCGTACACTGGCAAGCTTATCGTTCAAGAGGGAATGGTTTAAGTGGGGATGCGGTACAACGGGCAAGTCAAGCGTCATGAAATCCTAGTGGTGAAGAATGGGGGATCTCCCATACTGTGAATGGCATGGGTTCGGGATTTTCAAGTGAACTGGAAGGAGGTACACAACGTGCGAGCAGAAGTCTAACTCTCGCAAGTGTGCTAGAGAAACACGTGACCTCGGGGGGGGGGGGGGGGTCACGTGACCCCCCCCCCCCCCCCCCCGGTTACGCCGACGGCGACGGCGACGCCGACGCCGACGCCGCTCAGGCTGGAATCGGGCCCCCAAGAGCTGCGCTCTAAAATTTAAACGTAAACCTCTTTCATGGAACTCCTTCTGGTAGGGTCAAAATTTAGAGAAATAGAGACCTTAATCAACCAAGCCCTTAGCAGTCAAGAGCCCGACGTTTCAAAACCAATTCCGTTTCTACAGCGCAGCTCTTAGGCGCCCGTTTCCGGCTCGAGCGGCGTCGCCGTCAGCGTAACTGCGTGCATTATGGGAAACGTCCCAGAATGCAACGCGCGGGTCTCACTCTTGACCCGCGCATTGCATTATGGGAAGTCCAGTCGGGAGGAGAAGGAGGAGAGGGAGGGGAGGAGGAGGGAGGGGAAGAAGGAGGAGGTGGGAGGAGGGGGAGGAGGAATGAGGAGGGGGAGGATGACTAGGAAGGAGGAGGGGAGGGGTAGGGGGAGGGGAGGCGGAGGAGGGGGGAGGGGGAGAAGGACGAGGGATGAGGAGGGAGAGGGAGGAGGAGAGGTTGGGATAAGGAAGGGGACACCCGTCCTTTAGTACCCTTCCTCCTCCTCAAGAGCTTCACTCTAGTTCGGCATCATAGGAAGTTGTAAACGTCTTCCATTTTTTCATTGGGGGCGACTACATGCACGCAGAGAGCAGCTGCTTAATTTCCGTCTACGGTGGTGTCGCTCGCTGCACTCACTTTTTCTTTTTAACGCGGCGCGCGTTTTGCAGTCTGCGACAGTCGGAGAACCAAAAACAACAAGCAACTGCAAAGCAGACGACATAAGTACCCCGAAATAAAATCGGTCAAAACAACCCGGCAAACTATTCTTTTAATCGACTATGTGCACATTAAGGGCGTTTTATTAGTCAGGATGATAAAGTCATGCACTGTCAAGTGACATCAAAAATGCTTGCGCCCCCCCCCCCCCCCCCCGAAACAAAATCCTGCCAACGTGCCTGGCATACATTCAAAATGTTGAAGAAAATGGTCCCGCCTTGAAACTCAATAGAGTTTGAGCCATGCGCATTCTCAATAGACAAAAAAGTCGCCATGTCCATCTTCATTGCAGAACTTCACGCGAGATGTGTTTTGTACATTATGAAGACATTAAAATGCAACGAGTATATTCGGCAATCAAGTAAGAAAACTGCGAATGATTTATTTTAATATTTAATAGAGCTGCATTACTAAAACGTGCACATCGTTTCTGTTGTCAACTGTAGGTTTTATTTTTCTCAACATCCATTCGGATACTCTTCTTTTCCCGAGTCTTTACCTGTAAAGGGAAATTAGAAGAAATAGCATACCTGATGACACCGAATCGGCTTAATGATACTTTTGTATTAACCTACTTTTTAAGGTAATTAAGATATCTACACGTCTTGTCAAATCGTCCGAAGTTTTGTCGCAATCATTAACGTTCCAGTAAATACCAAATATGTGGATAAATTTCGCATTATACTCTCCGTAAAGGATCTGCCTAGTTCATGCAGTGTAATATGAGACTGTATTTCTGTAGGAGTACACATATAAAATTGTGGTTAACAAATGAATTGCAATCATTTTGGGACTAGAGTAATAGGTTCCTGTTTTAGGTTGCTACATAAGATGACTTATAGTGACATCGTTCATTTTTTTGTGTATTTTTTCATGAAAGGTTGTCGGTTTCATCAAGCCTGTCAAAACACAAGGGCTTCAAAGTGTGTATGATTCTATTAACATAACAAAAAGATATTGCATACAATAGTACGACGTTAATAACATATAATGCACATTGGAGCTTCCATATATTTATGAAGTTGCAATAGTAATGTGAATTACATCATGCTTTCTCCCAACTAATACATTCTAAAAGCTACCCAAACGTATTTTAACTTCCAAGTACAACATTTTAAGCATTATTAAAGAGTGTAATGCTGTGTAAGTGTAAAACTCAGTTGTTTTTGGTGATTTGTGTTGTCTTGTCTTGTTTACTCACTTTATAGGGTTAAAACAAAAAAATAATAAGCTGAAGTGTAGTTAGTTTACTATCTAAATTTGCAAATTCGTTTCTTGATAAAATAAACTTGAGTATTCCCTGAGAATTCGAATGTTCCTATTTTGTGCCATATTTGATAATTGCGATACATATGGCGTTGCTGCAAATGCACTGCGTCATTATATGTGGCTGAGGAGAACAATCTCTTTTGGGGAAAGAACGTGTTTCATTAGGTTCTGCTTTCCGGTATTTGCTTTCCGGTAGCTGCTTTCCGGTATTTTTTTCCGTTTTCGCAAAAGTATATTAGGAATATCCCTCCGTATAAAAGACAAATATATCTCAGTATCTGAATTTGGGCCTTCTAATACATGTATCTCAGTATTCATATTCTGGGATAGTTTTTGGGTTATGTCTGCCCAGCAGTGGAAGCTTGTTTTATACACAAGCCATTATAACATATTATTTCCTCCACGAAATTCGTCGTCTAGTCATAAAGAAAGATCTTCAAAACAATAAATCTCTGTTTAGTCCGCACCTGTAGATATTCAGCACCGCATAAAATTTCATCTTTCAAAGATGTGTAGTCCGCGTACTGTACTACTTAAAATAAGGCACGTCGCTCAGAGAAAGTCGCAATTATATTAGGTTAAAATACTTTGTCAGTATAAAACTACTAAAGTTATTGCAAAACCAGGCCAATAAAAAGGCAGACACATCATCAAATATATTCGACTAAACAATTATTACCGTGAACTAGATAGTGCCACGCACGTGGCAGAGTTTACAACGCACACGGAAACATCTAGCTCACTGCAATTATTACTTTGTGCGAAATATTGAATTGCGGGATCACAACGAAATTGTCATTAGTTCGCTCCCCGGCTATCATGAGCAACTGTATTTCCAGGCTGTCGAAATTGCTTTGTTTATTTCATTTATGTCAGAAAAACGCATTCAAGTTTATCTGAACTACCTCCAATCTTGATTATTACATTTTCTATGTCACACTGGTTTGTTCCAGAGAACAACGTTGAAGACTATTCGGAAACAAGAATCATTCTCGACAGCTGAACATGTGACAATGTGTATGCAGATCACGCTAGCGGGATAGTCTTATCCTTCTCCCCTATGCAACATTATACACGTCTACCTAAGCTTCAAGTACGTTACAAAGACAACCTTTCACCGTATCAGTTTGCCTCTAATTCTAAGAATATGAATTATAACGGAAAACGCGCAGTTAGCGATCTAATAAGCTTAATATTTGTTGAAAATCACAACTTGATGACATGAAATGAAGTAAAGAAAAACGTGTTTAAGAAAAATTGCATTATAGATTGCTCTACTCACCCGCGCAAACAGTCATACAGGTTACGTTACGCACGAAAAGGTTCTCCCTGCCCTCGTCTTCTCTACGACCAGGGGCTTCAATACAATAGCCTAGGTTGCTGTCGTACGTGGCCATGGGAAGATTTTCTTTCCTGTTACGCTTTGGTGCGGTGATGTTGCAGAACTGTCTTAGGTGAGCTTAATTAGAAAGGGCAAAAGAAGGGATATGAGCAGTACGACGTAAATAGCTTTATCTTAACCTAAAACGCAGCAGTATAAATCAACTTCTATTTCAGGTCAAAATTATTTTTTTTTAAAAACAATTCGGCAGAGTCATACATTCTGAAAGAGCCGGACCATGCAATTTTTTTTTTCTTTTAACAGTAAATGGTTATTCTTCTTTTCCTTAAGCCACAGGTCACGCTTGCTAGACTCGCACACTGCCAAAACATACATAGCATTCTAGGGGTCTCTGCCGAGACCTTCATTTACGGTGCAATGTGACGTTAAGCGTAGTAATAAACTGTTCCATTAGAGCCTGGAAAAGTTAAAAACGAAAAAAAAAAACACGCACGAGGAAGAGACACATACAACACGAACTGGCGCTATTTGTTGTGTGTGCGGGTGAATAGTGCCAATCCGTGCTGTATATGTGTATCTTCCTCGCCCGTGTTTTCTTCTCTTTTTTTTGCGCGCTGAGTTTGTTTTTGAATATAATAAGCTAACTTGAATATCCAAAGTTCTAAAAGTATTCATTTCATTTGTTTTAAACTGAGTTCCTAAATGTAAACAAGATCATTAGAAGTATGTCGGCAGCGATAGTTTGCTTCAGAAATATCTGGGAAAACTTTGCTATTTCAAATCTGTGAGATTTCGAATGCCTATTGATCACTTGTCTTCTTTGTATTTCCCGACCGTTTGAAAGGCGCAATCAACTCGCAAATAGCCACTTCCTCTGCTCGAAATCTTAAGGTCCTCTTGAACGATTTTTTCCTGCATTTTAAACCACTTCACGACGCTGTTCATTGGTCATGACTCATCAGGTAGCAGCCCCAAAGGACCAGATATGCAGTTAATGGTAATTCAACCTCTGGTGGAGGCCTCCACGAGACGGATGTTTTGAACCTTTTACGGAGCAAATTATTTTACACGTCTCGCAAATTTGCAATTGCATCTAGGGTTGCAACAAAATGAAGTTTATTCTTGACTAGATCCATAATTAGTAACATACCCTTTTAGAAGAGTGGCCAGTATAACAAAAGGTTACTGTGCGAGCAATGTGTATTTTTGATAAAACAAAATATTACTTTAAGTATTCATTGAAACTTACTTTTCACGCATGAACTGTGCCTACAATTAACAGATAAAATGGCCAGAAATATAAAAACCGTGAGTTTGGTACCCGACCATGTCCATTCATTGGTATAAATGTACCAGAACATAAGATCCTTTTGTATTTAATTTATTTCTCTGCTCAGCATTTTCCCCGCTTTCGCACAGCCGAGAAAAGTATTTGTGGGATCACAAAAAATACATTTGATTCGTGTGTAACTATGTCCATTCGAAAATGTTGGATTTTAAAAATAACCTGTCTTATAACCGTTAAAGTCAGGTGTTTCAGCGGAGACTTTCAATAACTCTTAAAAATATCATGATTGAGAAAATGATTTTTTACATAAACAAACTGCCAGTCATGACGGACATTAGGTGTTGCAAAAATACTAATTAGCAAATAGTTCGAGAAAATTGCTAATTAAGTTCTCAGTTAGTGAACGTAAACGTATGGTTACGGTTATAAACTTCTCAAACATTATAAAAACAATTAAATTAAATTAAATAAACTCACTTTCGAAAGTTGTGTACGCTCGGTATCTCTATTGTCGTCTGCACAGTCCGGCAAAATATTTATGGAATCACACAATATACAAACTATATTTATTTTACAGTAGGTCATGTATTTGAGATAAATAAATTTTTTTAAGATTATCGTGCTTGAAACCGTGAAATCGATTGCCTATTGTATCCAAAAAAACAGCGATCTAGTTTTGTATTACGCCCTTAATAAACATAAGCACTCCATATTCAAGACGCCGGCTGGTGAGCAAATTTATAAAATCTTGAATCAATTTATGAGAACACATCTATAACTGTCCCGACAAAATATTTAAAAAAAGTGCATATAATGGCAGATTTGGACAAGCTATTCACAGTGAGTGTGCGGCTACGAATAATACTTACTCCGGCACGTTTGAATACACTGAATTTCGGTCGCAAATTGATTTGTTTCTCCTGAAAAATCGTTAGATTTAAACTTCTCTTTTCCACAACGGTCGACACTGGAATAGTATGCCCATCCATCGTGAGCATCTCCAAGATTTTCACCACTTGGCGGCGTTTTACAAATCGGATTATCGGTCTCAATTTTCGCAGAGACGGACAGCCCTGAAAACAGAATTTAAACAGTTTTGTTTATCAGCACCATTTCTCCGAAACAGATTTTTGTCTGCCTTCTAATCGTGTTAAATCAGGAAAGAATTGTGAACGCAAATTTTTATCATTATTTCTGCACATTAAAACAATCTGGAGCGTCCTCTTTCCCACACAGCACATGGACGAGCCAATCGTTGCAGTCTACAGAGGAAGTTAGCAGCATGACGACACCGGAAATAAGTTTAGAACCCAAAATTCGTCCTGTGTTGAGCACTGAGCATAGTGAAATTGCATCCTCAGCACCACAGCGCAGACTAGCATTATATCTCAACTTATTTCCAGCCTCGTCCTTCGTTGAACTCTATCTGGGGAGTGCAGCAATTTGCTGTGACAAGTACTATATGGAAAGGGTAAGTTATCACATTTTTAAGCGAATATCTTCGGCGGTTAACATGCGTACCAGGCGCGTGATGTGTACAAAAAGACAAGATATTTTAGTTTTATTGTTTTATATGTATTTATTTTCACTGCCCAGATTCAACCGTTTAAGAATTACAGAGACCTAAAATATACATAAAAGATTTAAAAAATGACGCACCCAAAACCAAAACAAAAAAATAAATGTTCAAAGTTGAAATTGTACGTAGTAAATTAGCAAGCAGAGCTTAAGAAATAGCAAACTTTACACTTCTGCTCCAGACGAAAAAAAGTCATCAACAACTAGATAGACCTCTGACTTAATTTCAGAAGTGAAATACGTTTCAGGACTGTAATAAGGAAATATACACAACGGCACATTATTAATAAATAATCAAAGTCTTCTCGCTCCACCTTGTGACGAGTCGTATTTTGTTAAAACTGCTCCATTAAATACAACCCCGGAAGCCCAAGTTCTTTTGTTTTGTTTTTTTAACTCAGAATTTGACTGGCAACATCCAGCTACTGTGCAAGCATTCTCTTGAATGCTACGTGTACTAGAGGAATGAGTAACTTCTTTTCGGAATACATTCTGAAATATTTAGGCACAAATGCCTCGTTATGTCATTTCTGCTGTTATCGTATCCTTGCCTAATATTGAGTCTGCTGAATAGTCACAAAATATTTATAGTGGAAGGTTAACTTAAATATTTGTTTTAGATCATACCAATTACTGCGCCACTCAGGAGGAGGAAGAGATTCATCTTCACTGCAGATGATTCCAGGCCGTAGATTGTTGAGAACATGCCGAAGTCACCAACAATTGCAGACCTGTGAGATGACTGCAAAGTCACGAAGCTAAGTCCGCAATAAAGCGATGTTCGAGATGGCAGGCTGCAATACTGCTAAACCTTTCTAACAATAAAAGGAGTGCCAGAAAATTCCAACCATATGTTGTTTTTTTGCGAGACAGGCACGACATTTTCCACTCATTTTTTTTCTATTTAACGGTTATTTTCATCCAAAATATCATGTTTATTCATCTATGACCTTTCGTAATGCACGTCTTAAAAACCGAAAATCATGATCACAAAATAAACGCTTGAATTGAGTTATTCTTCGTGTTTTAGACAGGCTGCAGCTTCTTTGCTGACGCTTGTAGTTAGAGATATCACGTCATGAAGGTTAAACGAGGGACAATTCTGAGATTCAAAATATATTTAAGGGTATAATTTAACAACAACATCGAAAGGTTACCTTTAAAGAAGTGTGCGTTTTTTAAATTGGTGATGTGGGTAATGTTTTTATCCTTTGCACTAATTTATTAGTGATTCCACCAATATAAGATGGTTCTATTCCTAAAGAAACAGCAGGAACAAAGGATAACATATTCAGCAAGAAAAAAAACAGGCAATTTCCGGAGCGCACTTGTGATTAGATAGATCAAATATAGCCTCAGGCGCGTAAAAATAAAATTACGTTTAAATAAGTACAAAATGTTAACAGTGATCAAATCCCGGCTACAATGTTTATTATTCCTGATTTGCAACTCTTTTCCTCGAACCAATTTAGGTTTATATGACCGTGACAACGTCCAAAATAAATTAGCAATATTCAAAAGCTGAGGGAATCAATGTTTCCTGTGCAGTCAACTTGGTTGTGCTGGACCATGCTTCTGATTGGGTGTAATGATTACACGTTTCATTGCGTTTTACACCAAGTGTTAAAGATTGATCCATCGTACCTAAATGGTGAGACTAACACCAAGCTATCTCTAATGTTTAGATATAGAAGAGGGCTTAGATATAGAAGAGGGAGATAAAAATTGTGCATTTTTTATATTAGATCGAAGTCATTTTGAAATGTTTGCCCTAGTGAAATTGCGTTTGCCAGCACCATACAAGGGTAAGAAATCCCCACAAAAATTAATAACAAAGCTTATCAATTAAAGGGTCTGATACTTTTGTTTTTAATCTCAAATAGTGTTAACCTTAAGAGTCAACAGTATTAAAAAACCTATGAGTCAGTAAACATGATGAAAAACCGCACAAAAATAGGCAGAACAGACGAAGAAGAGAATTGAAGAGAGGCGGCGCGTACTCACAACTCAAATGTATTGCGTGAAGAAAGAGAAGATGAAGCAAGATGGGGGGAACAGATACACCGGCACGTGGATATTCAATTCAGTGACGCCCAAAAGACCACAAAAAGTCTGCTTCTTTTTCGCTAAGCGCCACCGACGGCTGACTAACGCAGTTATCAACTAAACCCATAATAATATACGCCTCAAGCACCTTGCGTGTTTGCTTTGCTTTGCACCATTCAATATTTGAGGCTTTGTCAAACGATGGAGAAAACGTACGCCTTTACAATGTACAGAAATGTGGGCTTCTACAGGTGATGTTAAGGAGAGATTGTGCTCACGTAGCCTCTCATTGAGACACCGGCCAGTCTTTCCCACATGGCACCGTCCACGGGAAAGGGGAATATTCTACACAACACCCGGCGTACAAGGAACAAAAGGGCGCACATACCTTTTGTTGCACGTATGGCGTGGTATGTTATCCAATTTTGCACGAACCTTTGGACAAACTAGCCCAGCTTACTACCTTACCAGGAGTCAGTGTTAATTCCAATCTATACTAGGTACCTAGGAGTCGAACTACATCCAAATGAATAAAAACTTCCAACTTAACCCCTGCCCGCAAAATGACTAATTCCACGTTCACTTAAAACTATTACAAAAGAAAACTTCAGATTTTAAGAAACATTTTGGAACTACTTCCGAGTTGCATCGAAGCATGGCTGATATAATTACCGATGAATTTGATACGAACTGTCTCTCTTATGAGCTTCTTAGTGTTGTTGCATTCTCTGTGCACAACGTCAGTTTGCGACCAATGTGCCGTGCAATCGTTGCACTCACTAATGTGTTTAGCAATCTCTGAAATTGGGTACGTTTATTTTTACATTTCTTTCGTGCTCTACCAATCTATCATTCATACACCTTGCCGTTTGTCCCACATACTTGAAACCGCATTCCAGTGGTATTTCATAGACCACCTCTTCCTTGCAATCAACCGAATTACCACGGTGTGCTTTCTGACACACTTTCTGACTCGTCTGTAGCGGTGTCAAACGGTTAAGCTTAAAGTCGGACTTAAACGCTACATCCATCCCAATTTTTTTTTTTTTTTTGCGCATGCTTTAATGTTATGAGAAATCGCGTGAAAATATGGAATAACCACATAATGCCTTTCCGCTTCCTTTTCTGGTCGTTGCTTAGCGTTTTGCTGTAATTCCAATTGTCTCTTTATGAACACACTGTCATAGCCTGCATCTTCTAACCTTGACCACTGCCTTTCTACCGCACAACCCATAAAATGGGAACACGACTTATCGAGTGCGTTGCTAATTAGAGATCTGACTTCACCTGCTTTTATTGATTTAGCATGACAACTTTCCCTACTCCAAACGGGTTTTGCGGCCATTTTTTTGTACTCCCAACATAAACCCCTCCCCCCTCCACGTGCATGCGTAAGTCCAGAAATTGTAAAATACCATTGTCCGCCTTTTCTAAGGTGAACTTAAGTTCCGGCGCCGCTCCCCTCACTGTCCGTTCCAACTCGAGTATATCCTCTTCGCGAAATGAGCAGATAAAAATGTCATCGACATATCTCCTCACAAAGCCCGTACCCGATGAAATACAATTCAATTTACCCGTCACGGCAGCATCCATGTTGTTAAAGTATATTTCTGCTAGCATTGGAGCAACTGATGAACCGATACATACGCGATCTCTTTGTACGAATTTCCGTTCATTGCACTCGACTACCGTTGCCTGGAGATCCAGATCCAGAATTGACAAAAAAATTATCCACTGTTATTCCTAAGTTGGATTGAAAATGAACCAAATTTAATTCCAAAGCCTCACGAACCCTCTGCATTTGACGTTCGGTAGATGTTCGGTAGTCTCCATGGACATATAGGACTTATATTATTCGCTAGAGAAGGCACGTCTAATGCAGAGGGTTCGTGAGGCTTTGGAATTAAATTTGGTTCATTTTCAATCCAACTTAGGAATTACGGTGGATATTTTTTTTTTTCAATTCTGGATCTGTATCTTCAGGCAACGGTAGTTGAGTACAATGAACGCAAATTCGTACAAAGAGATGGCGTATGTATCGGTTCATCGGTTACTCCAATGCTAGCAGAAATATACTTTAACAACATGGATGCTGCCGTAATGGATAAATTGAATTGTATTTCATCGAGTACGGGTTTTGTAAGGAGATAGATCGATGACATTTGTATCTGCTCATTTCGCGAAGAGGATATACTCGAGTTGAAACGAGGGGAGCGGCGCCGGAACTTAAGTTCACCTTAGAAAAGGCGGACAATGGTATTTTACAATTTCTGGACTTACGCATCCACGTGGAGGGGGGTTTATGCTGGGAGTGCGGAAAAATGGCCGCAAAACCCGTTTGGAGTAGGAAAAGTTGTCATGCTAAATCAGTAAAAACCGGGGTAGTCAGATCTCTAATCAGCAACGCACTGGATAAGCCGTGTGTCCATTTTATGGGTTGTGCGGTAGGAAGGCAGTGGTCAAGGTTAGAAGATGCAGGCTATGACAGTGTGTTCATAAAAAGACAATTGGAATTACAGTAAAAGGCTAAGCAACGACCAGAAAAGGAAGCGAGAAGGCATTATGCGGTTATTCCGTATTTTCACGCAATTTATCATAGCCTTAAAGCATGCGCAAAAAAAAAATTGGGATAGATGATGCGTTTAAGTCCGACTTTAAGCTGAACCGTTCGAAACCGTTTCAGAGGAGTCAGAAGGTATGTCAGAAAGCGCGCCGTGATAAGTCGGTTGATTGCAAGAAAGGGATGGTCTACGAAATGCCACTGGAATGCGGTTTCAAGTATGTGGGACAAACGGCAAGGTGTATAAATGATAGATTGGTAAAGCACAAAAGAAATGTAAAAATAAACGCACCCAAGTCAGAGGTTGCTAAACACATTAGTGAGTGCAACGATTGCACGGCACATTGGTCGCAAACTGACATTGTGCCCAGAAAATGCAACAAAACTAAGAAGCACATAAGAGAGACAGTTCGTATCAAATCCATGGGTAATTGTATCAGCCATGCTTCGATGCAACTCGGAAGTAGTTCCAAGAAGTTCCTTAAAATCTAGTTGTTGTTTTTTTTTTTTTTAATAGTTGTAAGTGAACATGGAATTAGTCATTTTGCGGGCGGGGGTTAAGTTGGAAGTCATATCAGTTCTCGTTTAGAGAAAGCACAGCCTTTCCAGACTCCGACTGGAAAGGAAGTGGGTCCGTGTGTTTGTTTTGTTTTCTTTGTTTTTGTTCAAGCTCCTAAGCTTTCAGTTTGGGATTAAGGTCACCGTTTACGGTTGAGGTGAAGACCAGGGTGGGTAGGATTGTATAGACCGTTTCATTAGGGTCGTAGCAGAGAGGGTAAAAGAGAAAAAATGTACTCCCCCTCTCACCCCGCATGTCGTCCGCTCCACCGAGTGGGCTGTAGCTAGCGTCCGGCTGGCGTGCAAACTCTGTTTAAAATCGCGTCATTTTGGAACTTTCAAGCGCAGATTCGCAGATTTTGTTATGCCAGTTGTCGTGTAATATTTAGATAAAGACTCACAGGGTCCAATTGCGCTGTTACCTGGGTGCAAATAAAAAAAATAGGGAAGACTGTGTCAGATTGACCGGTCTCTTTGGCGAAAAGTAAATTCGGTTGCTGTACCTTTTTTACTGTACAAAGTTCGTACTGGTGTAGGCCTTTAGCGACCATGAGTGGAAGTCTGAAATAATAAATAAAACTTGCTCTCCTGCC